TCCACCCTTCCCTTGATCCTCATTCCTGATGTCTGATCTGCCCTTGCCCTCGCCTAGCCTTGTCCCATTTGTCCTCTCCACTACCTTGTCTCTCTTGTCCAATGCTTGTGAACTTGCGTGACGCCGGCGATAAAGGATCTAATGGCAAGCGCACGAGGACGATGGCCTGCTGCCTCACTGTTCATGGAGATTATACAGCTGGTTTGGCCACCATGTTGTTTCATTGGCCGGCATCCCCGACTCGCGGACTAACTGGAGCAGCAACTTGTGACATGGATCTTTGCATCAGTCTGCGACTTCCTTGCTTCCAGATCAGACCTCGTTGCAGTTCGTGTACCGGACGCACCCTAGCACTTGGACTTTGACACTTGAACTACTACTACACTTCTTGGACTTCTACCTATTGCAGTTGCTGAAGACCGCTTCTACCACCTACTCCAAAGACCTGATCAAGTCCGCTGCAGACCCCCTTTCAAGACACTTGGACACTTTGTTTCTACATGAGATTCTGCTTCCGACTCCTTCGGACACACCAGCCTTCGCACCCTGAACAAACATTTTCTGACTTTGACAACCCCGTAGAACATCATTAGCAGATCCCTGTTTCCCCAACCATTGTTCCCCGTACCCACTAGAACATCAATAGGCATCCCTTGTTCCCCTGACCATTGTTTCCCTTACCCACTACAACATCAATAGAAATACCCTGTTTTCCTGAACACCGTTTCCCTTACCCAGTAGAACAACAATAGAAGTTTCCCTGTGCCCTGAACTCTGTTCCCCCTTAACCTATAGCGAACCATGAGTCCCCTTAGTTCACCAGTAGGACCACCCTGCTCCCTATCTCCCTTTAGTTCATTCGTAGGACTACCCTGTTCCTCGCAACCCCCCCTAGTTCATCAGTAGGACAACTTTGTTCACCGGTATCAAACCCTGTTCCCTCTTACTCCCGCAGCCCCTGCCACCCACATTATACCCCTCTTCCCTTTCGACTTGTTAACCAGTGATCGGCCCCGTCCCGTCCTTCACAGATTTCAGCATCGTTTCATGATTTTCGGCAGCCGGGACGTTGCCTTCTAGAGGGAGGGGATAGTGTTACGGACTCCGCCAGGGCTCGATCCCTGGTCCATCTTTTGCTGTTTCAGTTGCATCCCATTTTCGGCCTGGCACCCTTTTTCCAAACCCCTCCTTTGGTACCGTAGGATTTTGGACAACTGGCGCCATGCTGCAATTCGAGCGCCCGGCTACCTCTAGGACAGACAGGTCCTAAGGGCCTAAGCTGATAGACGGTCCTATCGCCTATAGCCGGGTTGGGAGAGGCCCTAGAGGCCGAAACCGAAACGGTACCGGTCGGTCAGTGAGTCCGATCTACGTCGAGTCTAGGCTAGAGTAGACTATAGATAGGATGGCACATCGGTTTAGGCCTTTTGGCAGTTGGTACCGAGTACATCACTGCTAGCCTGCTGCGCTACGCGTGAACTGGAAGTGGTGACGGCTCAGCGTGGAAGGAGACAGGCATAGCCAGACCTTAGGAGCGCCGGCCATAACTGGGACCTGCGCTGTACTCTGCCAGCACGTAGGGGCTGTCAGAGGTCTGGGGTATCGAGGTCTGATGGAGACAAGGGAAGTTGGTGCCCTGCTGGACCCTCCTCCAGAGTGGGGTTCCAGGGTTATGGTGCTGCAGCCATAGCAACAGCTTCTTCCTCAAAGGTCATCTGGTCAGGATTGGGTGGCGCTGCTGCAAACTTCCATTCGGGAAGTCTTCCGACACTTCGTCATCATCAGATACTGTGGCGCTGGTCTTCTTCTTCATCCTCTTAGTGGCGCTTGGGCTCAGAGGCCTGTTTCAGGGTGGCGCTACCCTTTGGAGGTTGTATTTCGGTGGCGCTTGATGTTTCAGGGGCTAAGGGGTGTCACGGGTGGCTACTCAGGGTTGGGGAGTGGAGCGCTGCTCATTCCTGAGCAGCTCACTATAGTTCTGAGGTTATCCGGACAATTCAAGACTCTAAGTTCAATAAACAGTGTGATGCTGGGTTTGGATTATCATCATTTCATTGTTTCTTGGATATGATCTACTTGGCTTTCCTTTATGACTGGTTGTGAGGATTGAGTGGAGTGAATTGCACTTTCAGTGTACCCTGTCATATCGCATGGTCAAGTCTTCCACTGTGTTTATCTCTCTCTTTGCGGTGTGATACTCATATCCTCTCCCCTTCCTTCTGTGTATGTACGGGCACACTTGGAAGTCTATGTGAGTGAGTATTAGTCTTCAGACAACGAACAACTAGAATCATAACAGTTTGTATCGGAGCGATTGGACCCTGACTTTGGAGCGATTGATGAGTTGGAGCAACCGTCATCATCTGGCAAGATACACGAGTTGAGTCTCGTGGCGATTCATCATCTTCAGGGTTGTTGTCAGTAAGGGTGGTGGTAGTGAGTGTGTGGCGAGAAGGATTGGACAGAGGGTGACTCACTCCTGAGTAGGGTTGTGCAGGAGTGGTTGGCGATTGGTGCTCAGAGGCCTGAGAGGCTCTGAGAGGCTATTTTTAGCCTGACGATTCATATGGAGGCTGGCGATTGGCAAGGAAGTGATCCCAGGAGGTTGCAATTTTGAATTTGGGTCAGGATCCCTAATTTCCAAGCAACGCAATGCAGGGTGATGTGGCGTTGCACTAAGTTTATCAGTTAGCGACACCTAGAAGATCAAATTCATTGAATCTGTCAGTTAGGGGTGAAGCGCCTCAGGGTAATCTACTGGATCACAATGTTTTGGGCAGTTTGGTATGTGGGAACACTAGGTACTGTCAGGAGATGAAACTGGCGAGATGGGGTTGACCAGTGAACCATAGCCAGAGTTTCATGCATCTTCTTCAGACTCTTCAGAGTTGACCCAGAAGTAAGTGTGTTCCTTACCCTGCTCTGTGTGGCGATTCGGGGTCTATTGTTAGATTAGCGAAACATGATTTGTCAGTGAGTAGACAGTTGAAAATTGAAATTCAGACTGTGGGACAGCCATATCCAACTTCCCCTACCTATCTTCTTTGAATTCTAATAACCCTGTTTGACCTCCTTCCTGACTCAGATTTCATATGTGACTGCTTTACAGTATTGCGATTTATACTGTGTAGTGAATTGGTGAATTCAGGGTCCTGTTGTCAGTGATAATGCAAATTTGAATTCTGCGCTGACATAGTTGAAGCTTGGCGAGACTAGGGTCAGTCATAACTTCAATTTCGTCCGTCAGAATTCAATTCTGCCAGTCCCTAGTAAATCGCAATTCAGTACTCAGTCTGTGTCTGAAATCGCACATCCAGATTTGATGTTTTGAGTTAGTTACAGTGAAAACTGTAATTCGCCATACGCAAGGTATGGCATACAGGGTCATAAAGTGGTGAAGCCTGCAGGGTAGGTATAAAAATAGGATTACCTGGAAAATCATGGAGGTAAAACTGCACAGTAGTTCTCATACCTAACTTTCACTCTGGTAACGCAGCCTAAATGGGTTAAAAGAACAAATGGGTTAAAAGAACTTGCAACGGCCGCAAACGCAACACAACCATTCGGACCATTCCAGGCAGATCGATAACCTGGATAAGACACTCCTATTGAATACCTTCAATCAGGTATGATTCCCTATATGCGAAAGGCAGGAGGAATCCCATTCCACCGTTACCCTGTTCAACGAATCTGCCATGGCAAAGCAAGGAGGACTTTCGCTTTTGATTACAAAGTACGTGTCATAAACTAAGCCTATAAGTGTAATCGAAGTGAGACTATCTAACCATCCAAGAACATGCTCATCTATATGAGAGGGTGAGACCTAATCTATGGATTTAACCAATCAAAGACTACTAACACATAGGAGTTCAAAACAATGAAACTATACGAAAACTACACCAAAACAACCACGTCAAATTCAAGTATTCCACCAGTCCACATAACGAGATTGACACTTCTGCTCTTAGAGCTTCCGGCGCACTCCCACCGTTGCTGAAGGCTTCCCCCACTGCCTACTGCAGCGCCGAACTGGCATGTTGTGGGTGGCATTCACCTCAACCCACGGCTGCTGGGATTGGTACAACTCTTCTTCAGTTCACGAGCAATCTGGGATAGTTGAGTGATATGGATGATATAGTAGCATGGGGTTTGTCAGGGCTGCTAGGATGCCATAGCCCGGAGCACGAAGACGCTCCCTCCCCCACTCAAGAGGGAGGTGGAACTATGACACTTTTCTCCAGCCATAGTCGAGACTCTAGGCCTAGCAGGGCCAACTAGGCGATAGAGATATGGCGTGAGTACGGCGTGTCGCTTCACCATGCACGGGCCGTGCACGGCCCCCTGCCCGGAGGTGCATAAGCCAGCTTTACCCGCATTCCGGTAACGCAGCATGCGGAGGTGCATAAGCCAGCTTTACCCGCATTCCGGTAACGCAGCGCATGCGCTCTCCGGAGCGTCGCCCCCCTAATTTGTGATGAAAAAAGGCTGGTTCTGTCAGAGGGGCATTCCGCTCTGTTCACATCATTTAGGCGCACTTTTCATATATCTCAAACTTATGGGGGTGTTTTTAGGGGCACTGATCAGAAACAGATACTACACTTGATCTTAGCCAAAAGGCCGAGAAATGGGAGCATCAGGTTGGTGGTCGATCCCCGTGGCCAAGCGCCACTTCCTGGAAGAACCGCCCTGCGCTAGGTGTCGGCCGACCGACAAGGTTCGATTGTCCCGGCACGACTAGCGCCCGGGAGATTCCTCTGGGGTGCTGGGCCTGCGCGCGTGCCTCGCGGGTGGCGAGGCTGGTCAATAGCCACGTGGCACTCATTGATTGGCGCTGTGGAGGCGCCGCGACACGTGGGCAGGGGAAGCGCCAGCGAGTGGATGATTGTTTTTTTGGTGAAAAAGCGGCGCGGTTCTAAGGGGAGCTATGGAGACTACTATGGAACTACAACAAGGGGCCGATGAGTGGTTGATTACTATGGAGAGGGGATGTCAGCAGCTGCAGGCAGTGGTGGGGGTGTTAGTGGGCCAGCTGCAGAAGGGGTCGAAGGCTGATGTGGGGAAGATGAAACTGGATGAGTGGTTGGAAGCCCGTGGTCAAGATATGTTAGAAATTCTGTGGGAACTGGAGGAGGGGCCGGATCCCCGGTTTGAAGCGTATCTTGATTGGAAACGACTGGACGCAAAGATGGGAGTCTGTCAGGCTTTATTTCGGGAGGGGCGTGACCTGCTCTGGCGAATGGTGGAGTGGCTGGAGGAGGAGGGGTTGGATGATGACAAAGGGGTGGATGGGGGGCTACCTCTTGTTCATTCACCATCACCGATACCGCCAACGAGTGCAGCAACAGCACAAGGATTAACAACAATCACGGCTACTGGTGATAGCAACAGCAGCAGCAACAACAACAACAACAACAACAACAACAACAACAACAACAACAACAACAACAACAACAACAACAACAATAACAACAACAACAACAACAACAACAACAACAACAACAACAACAACAACAAAAGCAATGGCAGCGGCACAGGGGGTGGCGGTGGTGATGACGATGGTGGCAGAGACAGAGGCAGCAGCAACAATAACAATAATAACAATCACGGCAGCGGCAGCAGCAGGGTTGAGAGCGAGATTGGGGATGACATCAACAACAATGATGAAGGCGATATCGATGACGTCGCGGGTGAGAGGCCGCACGCTGATGAGGAGGGGATTGGTTGGGATAACGATAAGTGGTTTGTCACCCCCCCCTCCCTCCCCCCCTTTAACCTTGTCGTCTGGTTGCGGATGGGAGTAGGATAATTGATGTTGATTGGTGTCGTTGAGTGAGGTTGATTGGTGTTGCCTGGCCCGCAATACCAATCAACAGTGGGGTAGTGAGAGTTAGGATCTAGATTGCGGGTGGTCAATCCTTCCCTAGCGAGGGGAAGTAATCAATGCCCCCGCTTACAGACTACATACAAATCATAGCGTTCATATAGTTCTGATTGATGATTGATATAGATCATATACATCACATCACACCATAGTTAGGCTTTCAGGTTTGGTTTTTGATACCGGCCAGAAAACATCACAGACATCAGACACATATTACACATGCAAGTTTGGGTTTCGTGGATTTGTATAGGCGGTGCTGGACCTGGTTTCCAGCTGATACATTCTGATACAGACACATCATTGTATAGGGACGCTGGACCCTATTTCCAGCAGACACATGTTCATAATTGTACAGGGACGCTGGACCCGATTTCCAGCAGGTGTAGCTCCCCACTAATAGATGGAGCCTTCAACGCCGGGACCTACTTA